ACAGATTTACCTTCTTGTTTAAATAAAGTTACACTTTTTATTACTTAAACCTTTGAAAATTATTTGTGCAAATGCTCAACTCCATTTAGAACTGCCCTATTTTGATTGAGTTTTGGTTGGGTACTAACATTCACGGAACAAATATCACCCAGTTTTGCATCTCAAAAATACACCAGAGAGGTTACCACTAATTTATCAGGATGATTTTAAAATCTATTTTTAGACCAATGATGTTGATTGCTAACTTTCTTACAACTACTTTACATGGACAAGGCTCCATTTCTCAAAGTGGTCGGGTGAAAGAGATGAAACTGGGAATCAGAGGGCAAGAGGTGAATTCAAGACACTGTCAATACAGTAGGGCTGCAGAAATGCCCCACAAGCAAGGTCTCTGAATGCCTGAGACATCCTATAGTGGAATGAACGGGGTGGTTGTGCCCCAGGCCTCTTTAACTAGATGAGTTAATTACAAGGGTTAATCATGCACAATTCTAGGTACAGCATGTATTAGGAAGGAGGAGGAGCCTTCATTCATAAGATTGTTTCTCCACAATTTCAGTACCCTGCACAAGAAAAAAAGCCTCTATTTTTGATAGTTATATTTACTTCCAGCAATGGTTTCAAAACAATATTTGATAGTACTGCACAAACTTACAAACCTCTATATAGTCACACCATGGTCATGTAAAATAGTGAGAAGAAAATGTATTATTAAAATACTAGATATTCTGACTTCATGATTTCAAAAGAGTTCAGCTTCTCTGATCCTACTGAAGCCAATGTGAACTGTTGGTATTCAGGACCTCTGAACACCAGGTCATCTGTTCAAAACTGGTTCAAAAATAATTCCTACCACCCAAGGGAAGACTTTTTGTAAGGAAGAGGGTAATCATAATTCAGACTTCCGGACTGCTGGCTTCTCTTTTCTAGACCGGGATAGATTTTTTTTATTCTTCTGTAATTCTCTTCATGAAGTGCTAAATTTTGAGTAGTAGAAACGAAAGAGATAATGTTTGAAGCTAATGCTATTTAGCCTGCAAAGTACAGGTAAGTCCTTACTGGCTTTCTTCAGCAAAGGCAAGTTTAAATGTTTCTTTTTAAAGAAAAATAAATTAAAAAATAATTAGAAGTTAGCCTCACACTCATGAAAAACCCTACTGCCCAAATATCATATGTGTACATGTGTGATGGACACAATACCTGTTAAATGCACTAAATTAAATTTCAAGATATCCAAACAGATTTACATTGTTTTCAAATGTTCCAGAAGGGTCTTGCTCACTATCTTAACTGGAGCACCCTCTTAAACTCACATCTCCATAGATCCTCACATTCACATTATGGGTAAATTTGGCAGACTTTTGCTGTATAACCTCTCAAACACAACGTTTTTCATCCACGTACAGGGCTGCATCTCTTCACTGCCTCCATTGATTTAGCAACTGATTACTGAAACACAATTTTTCTGTCTTTGAGGAAAAGAACTGTATCCTGCTCTCATCAATAGATTTCATAGATTTCTAGGTTGGAAAAGACCTTAGAGATCATCGAGTCCAACCGTCCCTAATCCCCATTAAACCACATCCCTAAGTAGATCATCCACCCTATTCTTAAACACATCCAGGGATGGGGACTCAATCAGCTCCCTGGGCAGCCTATTCCAGTGGCTGACAACCCTTTCAGAGAAGAAATACTTCCTAACATCCAACCTGAATCTCCCTGACTAAGCTTATATCCATTTCCTCTTGTTCTATCACCCAACACTAATGTAAAGAGCCCTTCCTCTACCTCCCCACCATCCCTTCTCAAGTATTTGTAGGCTGTAATCAGGTCTCCCCTCAGCCTCCTCTTCTCCAGGCTAAACAGCCCCAACTCCCTCAGCCGCTCCTCA